CTGCTAACCAGAAGGCTGGTGGTTCAAACCCACCAGCCACTCCTCAGAAGGAAGATGGGGCAATCTACTTCCGTAGTGATACTGCCTCAGAAACATCGGGTCCGACTCGACGGCACATAACAACAGCTGCCCAGCCATGCAACCAGACCCAGCCAAGTTGACACACAACCTTAACTACCAGACATGTGAATGCAAAAAAGATGCTATGAAAACTTTCATAAAGGATGGTTGGAATGGAAAAATTCATTTTTAAGCTCAATAAATGGAATAGAAATGGATTCCACATAGTAATGAAACTGGGTCGGGAGGAGTAGAAATGTCATTGAAAGCAAATAAAACCTCAGCCGTTCTTTGATGTATATGATGCATAATGATAATCTGATTTGTGCTGGTGATGGGGTGGGGGTGCTGGTCCAACCAGAAAACACTCCCAGGGAAGCAGACAGCAGCTAGTATCACAAAGCACTTTTCACCCTGTTGTGCAAGATTAGCCAGCAGAAGCCCAGAACACTGAGGCTGAGAGAGCTTTCTGGTTGGTGAGAACCATTGTCAGATTACCCAATAAGCAAGGTAAGCATGGGCTTACTTGTGCTTACTTACTAATCTGCAGTGAATAGAATCAAAGATACAGTAAAACCCATGTGAACGTGTTCATTATAGATTAATATATAAGCATAAGTGAGCCCGTGCTTACCTTGCTTATTGGATAATCCGCCCTTGGTGAGAACATGTGCTCCCAGAAGGGTAGCACACACCTTGGCGCATGGAAGCTCTGTGTGGGGACGCCTCACAGACCTTGCCTGTCTATCTTCATTTATGTCCTTTCTGGCTTTAATAAACTCATAGGCCTAAGTCTGATGTAGTCTCCGTGAATTCTCTAAGTCATTCCCATGAATCGTTGCACCCATACGGGCAGTCAGAGCCAGCATGTCAGAAAGGAAGGGTGCTGTGTGGACCCCCAGCTTGCAGCTGGCATCCTGAAGAGATAGTAGGAAACCACCCTGAATCTGTGACTGGCAGGTTAGAAGGTCAGGGTGTCGTGTAGACTCCCCACACCTGCAGCTGGCATCTGCCAATTTGGCATTGTGAAGGACTGTCATCTTAACTTGGGAGCTCTGACCCGGCTCTCAGTGGCTGTGGTCAGAGAGAGAGTGCTGCTGGGGTGGTTGGTGATGAGGATGGAGGAGTTGGAAGACTGAGGACTGGAGTAATCTCATGTTTGGGGCATGCTGATCCTTACCACCTAATTTTAAAGAGACATTTTGTAGGAAGTTTGTACTATTTTCACGTTCTTGTCGAGATAGAATCTGTGAGTCGTCTGCCTCTGGGCTAGAACACGTCCATTGAGTCATTCCCTTGAAGATGTTCACAAGACAAAGAGGTCCTTAGGAGTGAAGCCAGTTGATGAGGAGGCATTATGTTTTATTAGTTTTTTAATGAGAATCTTAGTGCTGTTTAAAAACAGATTATTCAGGCACTGGGTTTTGTTAGCAAGTTATCTAAAGTCTTTGAAAAAGAATTTCAACTTAATATACGATTCTTTGTCAGAACAGGTTTGGTTTTTATTCCTTGTGCTCGGTCAAGTACACAGATGTTTCCAATAGTTTTTGATTACTCTGTAAGGGGCTAAAAAAATCCATGCCAGAAACAAAGTCTAACTTAATTCTCATCTTGGGCAGCCCCTCTCGCCCCTTCCCACCCTTCCCCCACCCACAAAACTTGGCTTTGACCCATCTGGAAAATTAATCAAACTCTCAAGAATGAAGCAGGGAAAGGGCTGGGATGTAGCATGCTCTGGGGCCCTCCTTCCCAGGGTCAGAAGTGGGGCTGCTCAGAGAAGGTCGAGGTTTGTCAGGAACTGGTCATGATTGGTGTCTGCGGACACACTGGGCCCACGCAGCCCAGCAAGGCGGTGACAGGGCCAGCAGCTGGCGGTCATGGGAAAGCCCATCGGACTCTCCCCAGTGGCTCGAGAGGGCGGGAGAGAGTCCATAGAAAAAGCAGGCCTGCAGGGCCGTGTGAGCTAGGCTGGATATTGGGCTTGCTGACAGGCCAGGCTTTCCCTGGAGCAGGAAACATTCCTCCTTTCTGTCACAGGGATTAACCGTTTCGATAACTGTGGTTTTATGAGGAAAATTCCTTCCCAGTCTGGGCCCCTACCTTTAACCTTGTAAACTTAGCATCTTTGTTCACACAGAAACGAGTAAGATTTAGCATGGTTTTTCCACAGAGAAACTTGAAAAATGTAGAGGGAGACACGAGCGTTTGTGAAAAGCTTCCTTTGTGGCCTGGAGGAGAGGAAGAGTTTTGTCTGTGGTTGTGCTTCACTGTGGAAGAGTTTTACTTTGTTTCTTTCTGTTTTCATGGTTGTCTGATGGACATGTGTTTCCTGTTCTCAATATCTAAACTTTTTCTTGAGAGGCAAACCATTAGGAGGGTAGTGAGCAGCACAGAGTATGCAGAGAGCTGGCCGAGAGCCACCACGTGGGCAGGCAGCCCCAGAGCCCGCTCAGGAACCTGAGCTGTGGGAGGAGGCGTGAGCCCCCAGCTCTGTGGGGAGGCTGTGTAGGGTGGACTCTGTCACTGGGGTGGTTCCCAGCCTGAGGTGGGCATTCCCCTCTCTCCTCCAAAAACGTGGCTCCCTCCCCTTGCCACGTTGACTTTGCCTGCACTGCCAGCAGCCCAGCAGGGCGCTCTCCATCCATGATCGTGCTGAGGAGGGGACCCGAGGCGGGGTTAGCCTGCCGTCATGGAAGAGCAGCCTCATTTCATTCCCGCTGTCGAGTGCAGTGCATTTCTTTTCTGAAGCAAGCGTGTTTACTTTCTCATCGCAGCAGATGTGCAGATATTTACTAGATAGGAGAGAGGCACTGCGCCAGGTAGGCTGGAGAAGAAGCTTGGGACTGATGTTTTTGCACAAACCACGTGCCTGCTGTCGCATGGCACTGGGAGAGCCTGCTGTCTGCCCTCCCAGACCAGGTGTGCAAAGTCCCAGGTGAGTGATGCAGACCTACTTCTGGTGACAAAGATAAGCACATATACAGCCCGCCAGGGCTTAGCTCCTTTCAGAATGTATACCATCTGTTTAAAGACCAGATGCTGAGGATGGTGGATACAGGAGACCCCTCTCAGAGGGATGTGATGGGAGCTTGGCATGGACGAATTGGGGAAACGGGACTTTGAGCAGGAAGGGGTCGTGAACGGAGGCTGACAGTGTGAATAGGCATGAACAGGACTCCACCCAGACGTGGATGGCAGCAAGCTGGGCTGGGAAGGAGGCTGCTCTGTCTCCTGTGCTGAGGACATCTGTCCAGGGTTTCTGGCCGGGAGGCCGGCACATCTCGGCCCACGTGGAGAGTGGACACTCTGACAGCAGTGCGGGACAGCTGAGAAGGGAGCCTGGAGGCAGGTCACAGAGACTACTGCCAAATCCAGGTGGACTTCGTTTTTTTAGCTTGGGTGACTTGATACTGGTGGATTACCCAAAGTAGACCACTCTGGAAGAGAAACAAGAAGGGAATGGGGTACAGTGAGTCATGTTGTAGAATGTTCTAGACTCACTGTAGTCATGTTGTAGAATGTTCTAGACTCACTGTAGTAAAGGGATGCCCGGCAGATGGTAGGAAGCATGGGTCTGAAGGCTGGGTACCCATTTGGGATCATCTGCGTAGGGTGTTGGTTGAGGATTCCACGTGAGGAAGAGCAGGAGACAGGAGGACCAGAGAGGGGAGCTGGCCAGAAGGTTCCTGTGTAGAAGACAGGTAATGAGACACCTGTCCCCAAGGAGCCTGCGGTCTGACAGCAAGCCATCGGGGGCCTGCTGTGCCATGCGTGACCAGCAGAGCTCACAGGGCTGCTGCCTCGGAGGTCTGTGGGGCCCTTCACAGGGCCTGCGAGTTCCAGAGGTCAGAGTGAGAAAAGAAGGGAAGCAGTTTTAGGTTGAAGGAATAGCACCAGCAGACCCGGGGAGGCCAGGAAAGACGCAGCTATGGGAAATAACACCCCCATCCCGGAGCATGTGGGTGTGGCGTGTAGAAGCGGGAAGTAGAAGCAGAGCCCAGAGAGAGGCCCGGAGATCAGATGCTGGCAGACAGGAGCGTCCCATGGGAACGCCCTGGAGGAATGAGGGGCTTGGGAGGAGTTCAGAGAGAAAAATGGTGTCTTGGGATCTTGAGTCCCCGCCCTTTTCCGCCACCCTGCTCTGGTGGCTGCTGCTTTCCTAATCCAAACAGTATATGCTGCAGTGACCGCTGTGAAAGCCGGAACCTGTGCAAGGCAGAAACGTGTCAGAGAAGGAAAACTGAGTATTTCCCACTAATAGAGAACGACAGAAAAATGTTGACTGTGCCTGTCAAGGAGGACCACTGGTGAGACCCAAACAAAGCAAGGCAGTGCTGTGGCGCTCCAGCTGTACAGGTTTCCCCGTCACGTCACTGAGCTCTCAGAAAGCAGACCGCACCTGAAATACTGGGGGGAAAAAGAAAATCTTATTTCATCACTGTATCAAACAATAATCCCTACAATATCCTTTAAGCAATGTTGTTACTAATTTCCCGCAGTTAAAATATTTAGCATTTTTTAGGAGAAAGAGACCATGTCTCAGGTACAAAATGATCTAGAAGCCACAAGCAGACTAGCTTCTGAAGCACTTTGAAATCATAATCACTCTGTAGAACGTAAAATGGTAGAGCTGCATGGTGCCAGGGGGCAGCTCGGGCGCAGGGGCACCCCCACACACCCTCGGGTCCTGAGTGGTGCTGCTGACCCACCTGCGCAGAAACGTCACCTGCCTGAGGTGCGTGAGCTGCACTTACTGGCGTGTGCTCTTCCCCTCCAGCTCTCGGGTGGCTGTGAGCTGACAGTGGTCATCCACGACTTCACGGCCTGCAACAGCAACGAGCTGACCATCCGCCGTGGCCAGACGGTGGAGGTGCTGGAGCGGCCCCACGACAAGCCCGACTGGTGCCTGGTACGGACCACCGACCGGTCCCCTGCGGCGGAAGGCCTGGTGCCCTGCGGCTCACTGTGCATCGCCCACTCGAGGAGCAGCATGGAGATGGAGGGCATCTTCAACCACAAAGGTAGGAGCTGACAGGGCGGAGGAGGCGGGTGTCAGCATCCGCACCCCCGCCTCTGCCGCCTGGTGTTATGTGGGATGATGGAGCCTCCTCGTCAGCCACACGTTCTGCGCTGTCACTGTGTCTCTCTGTAGTTTGAATCCATGGGGAGCTGAAGTGGTGAGGGCTTCACCGGTGACTCAGGAATGATGACAGTTGCCCCATTGCCCAAGACGGTGTGATGAGATACGGGTGGCCTGAGATTAGGGACGGGGAAGGGGCGGGAGCCACTCGTAGACAGAGAAGGGAGAGAAGCTCCTGTTTCCCAGGGGTGATGCTGAGCACAGTGAGGGGAGGGGGGTGGACCACATTCAGCATCTTCCTGATCAGATTGTCACATTGGTTCTTTGTTCTGTGGTAAGTCCTAAAAATGCCACAGCAGGCCCTGAGACTTTGCCCCTCCATTCTTTACAGCTGTGCAAACTGAACCATCCCAACAGTACAGCCTCCTGCATGGAGAGGGGTCTTAGGTGGACTCAGGCAGGCTGACTGTCAGGCTCTGGGGCTGTGACCTTAGGGGAAGGCTTGAAAGCAGAAGTGACGGCCTCTGAGCGGAACAGTGTCTAGTGACAGGCAGCTCTTTGAATAGAGGTCACTGTAGCAGGACGGCTTTTACACATTTGTCTGGGTGGATCAGTGCCGGGCTCCTGTGGGTGGCGTGAGAGTGTGTGTATCCTGTGTGTCCAGCACGGCAGCCCACAGACAGATGGGGCTCCTGGGGCTCTGGAATGGTGCTAGTCTGCGCCTGGGCCCACTGCAGGTGGTGTAAACCACAGTCCCCTGCTGCTGAGCCAATTCCAGCTCATTGTGATCCTCTAGGACAGGTTACAACTGCCCCAGGGTGGTCTGAGGCTATAAAAGTGGACGGAAACAGACACCTTATTTTTCTCCTGTGGGTTGCTTGGTGGGTTTGAACTGCCGACCTGTCAGTTCAGTTGAGCACTTAACCACTTACCACCAGGGCTCCTGCAGGTGTAATACAGACTGGATTTCAAGACTTAGCACAAAAAGAGAATTTATACACATTGCATTTTGAAGTGATCATCTTTTTAATACCGAAACCCAAAACCCCATTGCCATCAGTTCCAATTCATATTCCATACTTTTCTGGAAAACACAGACCAGTGTCCTGAACCATCTCAAAGTCTTAAATCAGATGTGTGCTAAGATGGAAGATTGCACTAGCACTGGCCAACAGAAAGGTAACGCGAGCAGCATGCGTCGTTTAAAATTTTCTGGTAGCCACGTTTTAAAAAGTTGATGGAATTCATTCATTAGTATTACGTATTTTTGATAGAGTAGGTTCACTGCTTGGTTTACCTTTCTGTTGTACAGCACTGGTGCGATTTGTCTTAGTGAAAATCTGATTTGAGACTTTGAGATGTTTCAGGAAACGGTCCTGTGTTTTCCAGAAAACTACAGAACAGGTAGTGTTCATGTGCTTCGAGCCATCCGACGCCACGCTCCTCCTCTTCCTGCTGCAGTGGCTAAGGGTCAAGTCTTCCAGATTCGGGGGTGTGTGCAGCCCATTTCCATTCCTGAGAGAATGACGCTGTCCTCTGCCCTGTTCAGTTTCCTTTCTGCTGGCCGAGGGCCATTCCCAGTGTATCCTCTGTTCATCGTCTGTGCCCATTGTGACAAGGTCAAGACAGTCCCTGGCTTCCAAGGGTTAGTCATTCCGGGGAGCTAAATGAAGCTGTACAGGAAGCAGCCACTGATGAGCTCACTTCATTAATTGTAGGCCCGCCGAGTCCCGGATCCCTTAGGACCGAGATGTGAACTCGCTGTCACCTCGGCAAGAAACAGGAAGCATTAGGCTCTTATCTTCACAGGGAGGCAAAGAGAAAGGCAGAGAACGTTCCCATTTTGGCCACAAGCCGAGGTGTCTGCTTTCGTTTCTGGCGAAGCTGCCCATATATTCAGAGCAGCGTTGGCCGTCCCTGGTGTGGCACTCAAGTTCAGAATAGCGCTCTGTGGTGTGCTGCCTTTGAGCTGTTGTCGGGTAGGAGGCTGCATAATAAGTTTAAGGCCCTGCGTTTGAGTTGAATATCAGTACGACTTTCTTCTCAAGTTAATCCATTATATAGGGGAGCCCTGGTGACTGTAAATATGCTACAAATCACACTTGTTCTGAAAGATTTCTTCTTACAGATGCCTTTCCTGTGGTGTGTTCCTTCCTTCCTGGCGTTCACAATTATAGGCTAGCCGAGAGGGAGAAGGCTGTGTACCGCGCTAATCATACCCTACCTTGTGCTGAAAGCTTCTTCCGGAGGCTGGTTCTTTGCTTGTTTTAAGTGAAGTCCCACTTTGTTCCCAACCTTTTCTCTCTGGCGTTCTATGACATTCTAGTCTCTGAAAAGCCATTCCTTGCCCCTCGCAAACCCTCTAACACTGTCTTTACCAAGAAGGCATTTTTTCAGTGAGAGAGACTTGTTGGGACCAACAGCCAGTCAGTGGGCAGGGGCTTAGAACCTTACTGGCTTTTCTCTGCTTTCCCTCATTTTTTTTCTCTGTAATACGAGGAAAAATCCTTAAGAGTGTCTCTCCCTGGCAGTGTGAAGATGTGGGCAGGGGCCGGACAGTAGACTGGCAGGGAAGATCCACTTGTGCCCATTTGATGAAAAACCTTATCTGTGCACAAGCCCAGGTCAGGCAGCACTGACCAGGGTGTCTGTCTGGGAGGCCAAAGGCCAATACCAACTCACGTGAACAATGAGGAATGAAGGTCTAGGGTTGGAGCCCGAACAGAGCAGAGATTCCAGCAACCAGAGCCCCTTGGCCACCTTGGGAAGCGAGAGATGTGCTCTGCTCAGCCCCACCCCTACCCGTCCCTTTCGGGAGCCTCTCCTTGCCTGTCGTGTGAAAAGCCACACGTGCAGTTAGGATTGTCGACACCTCACTCATATAACAACATCTCACTCTGCACACTTCGTCATTCTGAGAACCACGCCAGGCTCGAAGGACGCAGTAATGAGCAAGATGAACACAGCCCCTCTTCTCCCCAAACTTGCTATCTGTCGGTCTTACAGCTTGGGTAGCTCTCCTTGGCCATTTCAGATCAGTGAGTTGTCCTTTCTTTCACACACAGTGAAACTCTTGAATGTTGAGGAGCTGTCATGATATGTTGGTTTCCAGTCGTTCAGTAGAGAGGGTGTCCTGGCTGCCTGAGTCTTAGCGTCTGCCTCCCAGGTGCAGGAAGGGGCACTCTCATTCCGCCCCTGGAGTCCACTCCAACGCGTGGTGACTGTGTGTGTGTGTCAGAGTAAGTGGAGCTCCGTAGGTTTGCAGTGGCCAATTTTTCAGAGGTAGATTGCCAGACCTTTCCACCAAGGTGCCTCTGATGCACTCAAACCTCCAGCCATTCATTTGTGCCCCGCAGGTGCCGCCATGGTGGCAACATGCCTCAGTAATGTTTCTCACAGTGGCCCTGGTCCAAATAGCTCAATAGTGGTGGGTCATGTGCTGTCCAGTAGATGCTGGCCCTGAAATGATCCGATGCTGACTGATGCCCTGTGAGTTCTGTGGCATCTTCCTGAGTTGGTGGGGTCCACAACACCTTAGCACACAGCTGGGGACTGGTACAAACGGAAATTCTCAAAAAGCGTTGAAAGAAAACATCTTCCTTGAGAGTGTCCATTGACTTCAGCTGTGAAAACCATGTTTATTGAAGTCAAATGTCTGGTTATTGGGTTGTGAATTATAAGGTGTTTTAAGAATTACGACGTGACTATGAGTATAAATAGTCCAGTCGGCCAAGAAGGCCCCACTACTCCTTCTGAGCAGTGCCGTGTTCATTTGTGGTTTTGAAGGACAATCAGAATCGAAGAGTCCATTGGACATGAGAATACTGGGAGTCACGTGGATTGGTTTCTTCGTTTGTGCTGTGTGCCCTTCCAGAGCCTTAGGAGGGGCCTTCCAGAGTCTTAGGGACGGCCCTTCCAGAGCCGTAGGGAGGGGACGGAGACTCAACCTAATGGAACTGAGCCTGGGCAAGAAATTTGATCATACCATTTATTTTCCAAGGAGGATGTGTTGTTGTGTTTTCGTGTGTGTGTGTGTGTGTGTGTCTGTAACTAGAGTCAGTGTGAGCATTATTCGTTGGGAGCCACTTTCTGTTTTGTGGGAGAGCTTGTTGAGGAGGACTGCTCGTCACGCATTCTCTGTGGAGAGGCAGCTTGGTGTTTGGCGTTTCTTCACGGCCTTAGTCTGGCAGCCATTCCTCCCTCACATCTAGGTTGCAAATTAAACAGTGAGCGGTGTTAAAATGGAATAAGGATTCAGCAGACCCACACTCCCACACTCCCCTGGTTCGTTTGTGTTTGTAGTTTACTGTCTACAGTTACATCAGGATCGCTGAGGTCGGGCCTAGCCTCCAGCTGTCATACTGTGCCCGGCTGAGTCTCCTGGGCTGCAGCATTGAGAACCACAAGCTGGCCCTCCCTGGCTTGGAGCCCTTCACCCACCGCTGGACTAGGTATCCGTGAGCACCTCTCATCTCCCAGGAAATCCCATTGGTTTTTCCTTCCTGCTGTCTCACCTGGTAAACCTGGTCACTTTTATCTATTTGCTTACCTAATGCTGGTTGCTGAGAGTGAACAGAAATGTCAGATACGTTCATACTTCCAACAAAACCCATTCAAAGCCTTCCCTTCTCCTCATGCTGAGTCATTAGGTTTTCTCTTTGTCTGTCATAAGCAAGAGCCACCGTGCATGATGGCAGGTGGGAGGGCACTTCAGTGGTCAGGTGGTAGCCCACAGTGGGGGCGCTTGGGGAGCAGCAGTGCCTGAGCTGAAGAAGACCACAGCTGTTACCTGTCTTGGAGCAGGTCCCCAGCTCGTGGTGACCCCAGCACGGTGGAACGAGCACTGCTGCTGCCACACCAGCCCCGTGATTGGTTGCAGGTGAGCTTACTGCGGTCTGCTGGGTGTCCAGGGCCTTATTTCTCAGAAGTAGGTCACCAGGC